AAAATCTTTGATACCTCTCATTCCACAAGACCACTATTGGAAAATTGCAGCACGCAACTGCAAAAAATTTTTCAAGGTAATTTCTATGCTATTTCTAATTAACTACGGTATTATATTTTATGTCCTTTAACTACAACGAATATTAGCTTAGGAAGAACTTATTTAAAGTAATCGGGTATAATGGTGATCAATCCTCGGGACCAAGAACTCGCCCACAATCAACTGTGGAGTGCCAAAGATTTTGAACCCTTCTACAAAGTCTCGAATTTGTAGATCCATCACATTTGAGATCTGTTTGTCGAAGTCTGGATGGGGAATATGAATTGAATGAAAATTTAACAAATTTTACATCTCTTGCTAAACTAGCTCAACAAAGTTTTATTATTGATACATTTATTAATAAAGGCATTCTTCTATTATTTAAACTGATATCTATTACAAAACAGGAGGCAGAAGATCAAAGTAACGAAGAAAATATGACTATACCAGAAATTGTGATAAAGATCAAAACTCTTCTTGAACAGCTTGGCGAAAGTACTCGAAAGAAATATTTGGGGCTAAAGTCAAAAAGAAAAAATGAATTATTAGATATACTACAAGAAGTGAAATTCCTATTAGATCTGGATAATGACCAAAATTGTTTAGAAAATTAGAGAGCAAATCTGCAAAAGTAAACTTTTTCTTAATGATATACGCTATACTTTATTTAACAAACTATTTTTAATATACATTATTTATGCCGCAGTTCAAAACGGATTCTCTTTACATATTTGATTGTTACTAAATTTTTATTTATTATTGTGATTTTTTTTAATTATGTGGATCGAAAATCGATTAATCATTTAGTTGGCTGAATTGACAACTAATGAATTAATAATTTTGACCCAACTATTAACCGAGTAACCAATTAATCGATTAACTATTAATTGATTAGTTGATTAATTGATTAGTTGCTTTATATTAATTAGCTTTTTAATAAGATTTATTAGGTCAACTAACAACTAATCGATTAATCAACTAATCGATTAATCAATTAATTGATTAATTAGCATAATCGATTCGTAATCGATTTTTAAAAAATTTTCAACTAACTGATCAATTACATTTTTTGCCCTGATTCATAATACTGATTATGTCATTATCCTTTCATCTATCATTATTTGCATAGTACCTACCATCGAACTAATGCATTGTGCTATGATCTTTTTGAGTTCTTATGTATTTCTAAACGGGAAAGATAAGTCATTATTTTATTATTTCTTAATCTAGAAGAATCTGTTTATGAATATAATATTGAATTATAAAATGTTAATTAGTTGGGTTCTGCGTTTTTATAGGCTAATGACATGAATCTTATCTTACTGAGAAATCTATAACCTGAATCATATGATTTTCTATGTCTTAGATCCTGATCGTCTCATTGATGTCTTTTCTGTATCTGATGCTGATTAAGATGTATGTCCATTTTCTCGTACTTAAGGTTAACTTAACATATTCTAAATGCACTTTGGCGAAAATAGGTGCGAAATATTCACTAGTTCAGGTATTATTATTTTATAGTACAGTAGTATTATTTTGAAAGAGTCCATATTATTTCATCGACAATCGCTTCAAAGACTTCGAAGGCACCATATTTTACCGGCACAAATTTCATTGTCAAACTTATTTTCAAACAATTCAGACAAGTTCATTTCGTAGGCAGTATAATTTATTAACAGCTCATTTCACAATCAAGTTTTTTTTTCCTAAAATTTTTTTGTGAAATGAGCTGCCAGTGAAATATACTGGCTATGAAGTGAACTTGTCTAAATTAATCGTTTGTAAAATGTCATAAGTGACTTTCGTAGGATTGACTGTTTAAATCAATTTAATTTTACATTATTTATACAGTTTAAAGTACTTTTTAAAAAAAATAAAATTACAAAAAATAAACTTAAAAGAAGTATATAAGAAGTTTTATTAGGGTTGTAATAGCAAATTCTTAAAGATAGATAGAATTGGGTTATTACCATGCTAACTTCTCTAAATCAAAAAAGGATTTTGATTATTTTAATAATGGAGTTCTACAATCCTGATAAAACTTTCTATATATATATATATTTTTTTTTATTTTTCGTAGTCTTATTTTTTTTAAAAAAAGTACTTTAAACTGTAATTAAATTGATTTAAACAGCCAACCATACGAAAGTCTTCCTATGATGTAAAATGATCATTGATAAGTTGATCAGAACCGGCTAAAAAAATATACTGATTTGACTTTATAATTGCTTGTTTGAGAATTTTTTTTTTTTTTTTAAATGAATACCAGGAATGGAAAAAAACCTATTATTTGGGCTTTAAATGTGAAGTTATTTTGTGGCCGCACACGACCTTTATGAAATTAACTTCGTCTATGAAATGTCTTCAATTGCATCAAATCACAATTAATGGCTTTAATCGAATGAAAAAAGAAGTTAATGGTTTGTTTTATTTTACTCATTTGTCATTGAAGGATAAAATGGGTTTCAATTCTTATTTATTTTTCGGCATATATAAGGCATATCCAAGGTTAACAAGAATGAATACAAGCATTCATGCATTATTGAAAATTGGCTGAGATGGATGATATTAATGAAATATTCAGTCTTGGCTGTTAATATTCGAATGAAATTTGAGTTAACTAGTGTAAATTCAAGGCATTCGAATATCATCAAAAGCATGCAAAGATAGATCATGCTAATGATATATACAATCAGATATTGTTATCATAATGGAATTGATGTTGAAAAGGGTGAAATATTCATTTATTTCAAAATTTGTTGTTTGTTGTGCATAATATTTTTAGGCAATCTGCCTTTTTCTTTTTTTTTATTGTTTTATATTTTATTGCAATAAATTCTTGTGTTTAGTTACAACAATCTAATTTTTAATTATAAAGTTGACCCTCTCAAAACCGATAAAAAATTAGTCTACCAAGTCCGTTCTCGTTACATAATCTAATACAGTCGACTCTTTCAAAACCGATCCTATAACCCATCAAATCCAATAAAAAATTAGTCTACCAAGTCTGTTCCCGTTATATAGTTTATGTTTTCAAATCCGATAAACTGATACAAAACCTGTCCAATTCTGAGAGGGTCGACTGAATCTATATAAACATAACGTCTAAACCATCTTCCTATGTACTATATCAGTTTAATTTTCTTAATTCCGCAAATGCACCGTAATATTAATGTTCTTTTAAATAAAATACAGTAAAGCCTCTATAAATACGTTTATTGAGACTGTGCTTTAACACATATACTTAAAAAGTGCATTTATAAAGGTCACATATACATGTTTGAGCCGAATTTGAATGTGTATTTAGAAAGTGGTATATGCGTAGAAGTTTTACTATAGCTAATAATTTCTGTAGAACTAATTTAAATATTTAAAGTTTATTGGCCAATCTTTATTGCATGTAGAATAATCTAGAAAAAAAATTTAGAAAAATCCAACAGATGATCACTACTAAATAAGGTGCGATCAGCAATATCCAAATATGGTATATTCCCAGATTGTATAATATAAACAAACAACAACAAACAAACCAAACACATTTCCAATTAGGTAATTACTATTTTAGTTAAGATTTAACAAAACAACAAATAAGTACATATGAATTGCCTAAACAAGAAATAAACTGATCTAAAATACAAACTAGTAGATCAATGGATAAGATTCAAAAATCAAATATTATAGATTATATTAATGAGCTAGATGAAGAAACAATAAATATATCAATAGCAAAATTTCTAAAAGCTCTTCATTTAGCAAAACTAGAGTGGTTAGAAGAAGGCTTTACAGACAAATAAATAACAAAGCTTATAATAATAAATTAATATCCAGATTCTATAGAATATATATCAAATATAAGCAAAGAAGAAATTATTCAAAATAAGAAAGAAATAGAAGGAATAGCTAGAGCCAAAGAAGTAAAAGAAACTAAGCCTGTAGTCAGTAAAAAGAGACAGCAAAAAGAAGTTAGCATAGAGGAAAAATCAACCAAGATACTAACTCAAATGCAAGACAAATAGAAGTTGTTTTAGAAGACAACAAAACAAGCAATAAAAAGAAAAAAAGTTGAAAGAAGATGTTAAAATATTAGTAAATAATCTGCTTTATGATGTTATAAAAAATATTGAAACCATTGACAAAAGAATACAGAAAGTGAAAAAAAAAGAAAATAATAATACAGAAACAATCTTTCTTGATACAATTGAATACAGCCAATAGTTATTAAGAAACAGAATTTGTGATAAAAAAAACTCCTTTAAGGCAAATATTCTAGCTTACACATTACTAGAAGCTTTAAAATAAGAATGAGTCAAATATGTCAAGTGGATTGTATAGAAAAACCACCATATTATAACATTAAAAAAAGTTTTCAAAAATGGCAATAACTGAATTGAAATCAACTTCAATTGTAAATACTGTAGAAATCAAGCAATAGACAGAATTAGAAAAAAAGAAGATAACTGGCTTAAACTTATTCTAGAAAAAAACAATGAACAGAAGAAAATTTCTAAGCAACAATTCAGAGATAACAAAAAAAAGAAAAAAGAATATGTAAAGCCAACAAGCCTAATAGAAACAAATAAATATAAGAACCCAATATAAGTAAAAATGATACAGATAACACTATTACATCATAATTTGGGATCTGCTAGCAAACATCAATTCAGAAGAAATAAAACATATATGCAAAAACATTATGAAGTCTCAAGTAATTTGAATCAAAGGATCTAAGTTTAAAGCTCTTGCAGTAATTAAAACAAATCATCTTGCAAAAGAAAACATTTCATTATCATTACTAATCAGAACTCACAAATTAGCAAGAGTAACCAAAGGTAATGAGAACTATAATCAACATAATTACCAAAGCCAATTCATAACAAAGTTAAGAGACCTACTAGCAAATGCATCAGAGGTGTTGCTTCTATGCTGTCTAAAAAGCAAAAGAGCAAAGTCAGTATATATACCATTTAATAGAAATAGTAATTAGAGAATGTTAGCAACAATTACCTTTGCATTAAAAGAAAAATGAATGTAGGAAAATCAAAACTAATATGATACAACAACTATCAAGTTTTTTGGAATGAAGCAAGAGTAGAAAAGAAAAATTCCAGAGAGAACAAACAAAAGTACAGAAATACAAAAGATCTTAAAGTTGATATAAACAAAGAAGAATTTAGAAGCAATATAAAAACTAAGAAAACAAATAATGAAAAAGAGAATAATACTCTTGTAAGCCAGTCTAACTAAACAAAAGAGAATAATATTTCAGATCAAATGCAAAAATTACTGCAAAAAATGCTATTAAGATTGAATAAACTGAAAACACATTATATTTGCAATAAAACAAGTATAAGTAAAGAAGAAATAAATTACTCCTAAAAGGTGTCACAGTTGAACTAAAAACCAGGGTATAGAAACAAGATCCTCTTCACTAAAAGCAAATTTAATTCAGAAGCAAATAAAAGATAGCATTTATACCAACTAAGTAATAATTCAAAAGACAAAAAGAGAATACTTAATAAAAATATCAAAAAGACTTCAAGAAAACAAAAAAGAAAGGTTGAAAAGTTGAAAATATAAACAGAACAAATAGTTAACAAAATAAAATAAAGAAGCAAATATTAATAAAGAAAATTTATACAAAGAACAAAATTAATATAAACATAGCAATACACAATATTAACAGTCTCAAAAAAAATAATTAAAAATAGAGATTCTACAAGAAAGATTAATTGATAACAAAATAGATATAATCGGTATAGCAGAAACAAATATCTCAGCCAAAGAAAGGTTTTTTATATTAAGCAATTAGAGTGATTATAAGGGTTTTTGGGCAAATGCAAATTCAAACAAAAAAAAGAGGTCAGGCATAGGCATACTCATAAATAAACAATAAAAAAAACATTTAGAAGAAATAGATAGAATAAATAAGTATATAATTATAGCCAACTTTATATTTAAACAAACTGAAATAATAGTTATAATGCTCTATATTCCACCAAATAACAAAGAAAAAAGAAAGAAAATTCAAAGAACAATAATTAAAAAATATATCAAATGCTGACAAAGAATACAAATAATTGTAATAGAAGACTCTGACAGTGTAGTTAATTCAGAATTGGATAGGTCAGAAAGTCCAAAAACAAAAACAATTAAGCAAAATTCATTACTAAGTGGTTAACAAGACAAGACTTTAGATATGCTTACAGACTAGTAAATCCAGAAAAAAAAAGTTTTAATAGTCAGGTAAAGGTTTAGAATCAAGAATTGACCAAATTTGAATTACAGAAGAACTAGCAAATAGACTATTCAATGCAGAAATACAAAAGATGGATGTATACACAAATAGTGATTACAGTTTAGTAATAGTAAAAATTAATCTAGAACATTTAATTAAACCTTATAGTGCAGCAGAAATTAAAAAAGTAAAGCAACAAAGAACCATCTTCTTGTAGGATAAAGCAACCAAAGAGAATATAGAAAACTACAGAGTTGAACTAGATCTACAGTTGAGGAAAAGAATTTAACTACAAAAATTAATATCAGTGTAACAAAATTTAAACAGTCAAAACATCACAGAAAAGGTTCTACAAAACAGATTAAATAGATGTAGAACATTTTATGCAATAAAATTTAAATGCTAGCAAAGAAGAAATTACCAAAAAAAAAATATTTAATACAACAGAAAACAAGAAAAAGAAAATAAAAAAAGCAAAATTATCAAAGATTTTAACTCAATTAGTAAGGTAAATTAGTATAGAAAAAATTAATATTAAAGTCAGATTAACAAAAGACAATATAGAAGAACTAAATGAAGAACTGCATTATATCAACTATCAACAAAAAACATATAAAGATACAACCCAGAATGAATAGTTACAAGAGTTGATAGAAGATTTAAAAGGATAATGTAAAATGCTATACACAAGAAGAACAAGTAAGATTAAAGCCTTACAACAGAAGAAAATAAAAGACTATACAGAAAAAAAATATCAAATAATCAGAAATTATCAAGAAAAAATGCTAAATAGTCTGCTCAACAAGCCTAGCAAAAAGATACAAATAGACAAAATAATAGAAAAAATAGATGGTCAAAGGAAATTGTTTACAGAATCATTAGTAATTTTGAAAAAAGCAAAGGTTCATTTCTAAAATTAGCTGAGAGCAAGACAATTCAACCAAAATGTTAGAGAAGGAGTAAAAAAAAATTTATGAACCCAAAAAGTCAATAAATATAAATTGGTATAATGAATTGAATCAAAATATTACAAATAAAGAATAGTCAGAAATGCTAGCAAGGTTTAGCATCAGATATAACAGGAATTACATATAAGCTAATTCAGACAACTAGTAAGCAAACACAAGAAATTTTTAAGAAGTTTGCAAAAATATGCATTAAAGCAGGCATTGTACCAAAAAAGTAGAAGATTTCACAAATATATTCAATACTGAAAAGTGAAGAATGGCATTACAACTTAAGTAATATAAGACCTATTGTACTACTAGAAATATACAGAAAATGCATAACCAAGGTTCTTACCAAAAGGTTAATACAAGTATTCTGCAAAAGAAAAATACTAAAAAGTCCAAACTTTGTAGGCATGCCAGGCAATTTAACAGAAAAGCCAGTTCATATCATTGATGCTATAATGAAGATGCAAAAGACTACAACAAAGAATTATTGCTAGTACTACAAGACATAAAAAAGGCATTTGATTTAGTATCACTAAAGGCACTAAAATTAGCAATAAAAAGAATTAAAATTTCTGAAATTATAATCATATTCATATTAAATTTGTTCTACAAAAGACAAACTAAGATTATTACACATTGGGACACAACAGATGCAATCAAAATTAATGATGAAATAGAACAAGATGAAGTCTTATTTTCATTAATATGGTAAATTTTTTTATGACCCAATTCTAGAAAGAATCTAAGTTGATAACAATCTAGGTTATATTATCAGTATCAGTACTATATAATTATAACCAAGGCTACTTCAGAAAGACAGAATGAAGACAAGCAATAGTAATATTTGCAGATAACACAACATAGATTGCAAACAGCAAAACACAAATGCAGCAAATAATCAAGATTGTAAAAGATTTTTGCAAAATGAATAATATATAAATTAATGAAAAAAAATCAAAATTAATTATTATAAATTTAAGAAAGAAAAAGAAAACAAAAAGATAAATATTGGAGGTAAGCAAATACAAGAAGAGAGTGCTAACAAAATAATAAGATTTTTGGGTGTTTGGTTAAACTGCAAGTTGTAAGACTTTCTAATTAGATCAAGAGTACAAAAAACAGTATAGTTAATAATAAGAAGCTTGGATACAAAAAAAATAACAATAACACAAGTGTCATATATAAACAATATGTGAATTATTCCAAAGTTACTATATATATTGCAAATGACAAAGTTAACAAAAGTAGTGATTGATAAAATACAAAGTTTTTTATTAAGAGTAGCAAAGAACAAGCTAGGAATAGCAAGAACAACAAATAACAGTATAATTTTGCACAAAAACTTAGAAAACTGCAATTTGTTATAGGATTAACTTACTATTAAGCAAATTTCAAGTTTGCATATATGTCTCAATACAGGTGGCATAGAGAAATTAGTTATAAGAATATGAATAAACCAACTTTTCTAAGTTATGTAATAGAATTTAAAAAAACAATCTAGCATGTTACACAAAGCTAAAGGCCAAAAAACTGCAAGTTAAGTAAATTTTGGTAATCCAAATTCAGTCAAATAGAAAAGAAAATAAGATTGCTAATTTGCTAAGTGCCAGGTTTATAAAAAAGCAGCATTAGCATTAAGAAGACTTAAATTAATATATATAGAACAATTAATTAGCAAATTGGGTAATCCAAAACTTCAGAAAACACTTTTTTATAGATCATCAAAATAAACAAAATTAACAAAAATTTAAAAATAATATTATAAGTTCTCTTTAATAATATAGCTTTCTTTAAAAATATTGGATTTAACATTGTTAGATTTAAT